AATCGTAAAAGAAGGTTAGAGAGATAGGGTCAGATGTAGGAAAAGATTCTCGCCGAAATGGGCAAGAGAGGAAACTCGTTTTGTTAAATGGCCCGCTATTAACCATAAAAGCATCGTGGCGACAATACGGCCGATGGTTCGAAGTTACTTTACGACATTACGAGGCGAACCGAAACGGCACGTTCTCCGACTGATAACGTTTTAACGCGATAAGAGAGTTCGTTGACGGGTCGCGTGCAGTTCCAACGAACTAAACGACCGCCATGAGGCTGACGAATTAAAAAGGAAAGTTGAAAAACGCAACGAAACGATCCATTCTCTGTCTCGTTCCTGTAATGTTCTGTCCGGGAGCAGAAGTCACGTGATGCTTTTAATTATTTGATTAATCACTTATTATAATTGGAGGTAATTCGCAGGTGTCGCGAGTGGTAAATTTTTAACCAAACAAAAAGCCTTTTCGTTTGATGAAGTTAATTAAAACTTTAATTAGTGTATTAAGTTACTAATGATCATGAACAGGCAAAGGATTTTGCCTGTAGAACGCTATAATTTGAAAGTTCATTTTAAAATTATGACTCATTAAATTTGAACGACATTCTAAGAGTCAGTGACCCATCAACTGCATTCAGCTTACGATTTCACGCGTTCCCGAGGATTTGCCGGCACTTTGGCCGTGAATGGACGATAAGCTATCGTCGTATAATGGTAAATAGTGAACACCGAGCCCGATTGTTCACCTCTATTTGCCCGCGTGTGAAACATCCCCCGTGAGAGTTTCCTCCCGATCGACAGGGGAACGTTGGACGATATTGGCCGGCCGGATTTTATGCCGGTCCGAATCCAATTACCCTGAATAATTTATCGGCGAATCACAGACGTTAATGACATCGGCTCGAATTAAGCGAGCTTCGGAAAAGTGCGCTGCCACCGGAGTCCGCGAGAACACGCTCCTGTCGCCAATTAGTATTCATGTCGTGGATAAAGTTCGCGTTTTTACGTCAACCCCGACCCGTTCGATTATTCACGCCACTCGGAATAACACGCTTCCGATTTCGCCTTCTTTTTTTAACGCTTTTCGATCGCCCTATTTCGACGCTACAACATTTCACCACTCTTTTTTACACAATATTTTTAACACCGTTCTATGACGCATCGAAAGCTAAAATTGCTTTTGCTGAACATTTTTGACCTCCTCTGACAAATATGGTTAACCCTTTGCGCTCGAGAGGTGACCATTTTATTTAATACAAGCATTTTTTAACTGATTCTATGATACGACACGTGTGATGTATAAACATAACGAAACAAAGAATTGTAGAAATTATAACCTCAAAAAAAATTCATTTTTTTAACTAAGTTTTAAAGTTGTTTGCAAACAGTCAAATTACCTTAAAGGGTTAAATCGTGAAGGGACGAAGTAGAATAGGACGATTGTAGGGAAGGTATTCGGAAAATATTAGGAAAAAGGCTCGTAGACGCTCTTAATCGACTCTGTGCTATATCTTTTCGCGCTTTTGTCGTTCGTTAACGAAGAAAAGAAGAAGGAGGAAGAAGGAAGTTAGCGATTACCTAAATCGTCCTTTGAAATTGCCCATCATCCCCGCAACGAATCCTACAAGTATGCAAGAAGTTTGCCGGGACGAGGAAACGATCGTTCAACGTCGTCGACAGGGAGGGTTCGCAAAAACCGCTCGACGGATGCAGTTCGCTGCGTTAAACGGAAATCGTTTCAGCGGAATTCGGAGAAACCTGGCTGGCTTCCCGGTGAGAACCGATCTAAATGGCTCGAAAATTGTAACAGCCGATCCTGCTGAAGTATTAGCCGCTATTTATCAGTTAACTTTCCCTTCTGCCCTCGTCCAGAATATCGCTTAGTCAGGTTTTGCGGGACGACAAGAACCTACGGTAAGAATCTAGGTACGAAAGTTTCACGGAACATATCTCTGGACTTCTTTCGTTTGACGCGTCTCCGGAAAAGTTTTAATGATTCGTTTTGCAAAACGAATCTTCTAATCCCTTCGATCTCGAAGTACTTCATCTGTAAGAAAATATAAGTTCCCTGGAACATACGCGTAATTCGATTACCGGGGCGAAACTTTGAAGCGACTTTCCAGTCGAAAGATGAAAAAGTTTGGAATTATTTGACGAAACTTTATCCCCGATATTTCGAGGGATTCAACTAAATTATCGGGGTGTCAATAACCTTTCAGCTCGTGTTCCGACGTAACGCCCAAGTGTCTAGTAAAGTTTTGTAGAAAAGGCTGTTAACAAATATTGAAATATTGCACGTCGATATTGCAGGTGGATAATCCGTGGATCGAGCTACGAGGCGGCTCCGTGCAACCAGACTCGAATAGGGTTCGCGACAGTAGCAGGGGTGAGTCGAGCTATTTTTAATCCGTCGACGCGACACGCTCGTTAACGCGCTTCGATTTTATGATAATGTAGCTTCGCTAACGAGCTAATGCCTGATAAACCGTAGCAGGGTTACGCGATCCGCTCGCAAAATCAATTTCGGTCCCTTTGAAGACGCGCACGCGGATTAATTGGGACGCTCGCCGGAAGCTTTTATTATTGCCTCGTCGAGACTTTTGCCGGCATGTTTTTCCATGCTGTATTCGAGAACGATGAAATTAGAGGGCAAGAATAAGATAACGAGATGGAGGACAGGGACCGAGGGAGAGATACTTTGAAAAGGGGCAGGTTCTCGAAAATTCACGATTCACGGGGTGAAAAGGCGCCGAAAGAGCCGCTGCAAAGGGAGAAAGAGATCGCGAATTAATTAAGAGGCTGGAAGTTACCGTGCTGCGAATAAGACGAGACTTCCGGGATATTCCACGTCAAAATATTTAGGACAGATTGCTAAGTATGCTCGCTAAAATCTCAGCTGCTGTATATTTATTTCAAATATTATATTCACAAAATATTATGGAAACTATTTAATTTATTATGCGAAAGAAAAATTGACCGAATTGAAACGAGCTATCGTTCGAAAATGCTTGCTAGGAGAGAAACAAGAGCGAGATTGATCTGATCTAAAGGGTGACTTCTTATGCCGGTAAAATGGAGAGCACATACAAGACGTCTGCGTCGATTCTCGGCTGAGCACGCTGTGAATACATGCACGGTGTGTACACAAATGAAGCCGATGTTACGCGAGTGCACAAGTTTTCCGAGTGTCTCGGCAACGTCCGAAAGAGGACGAGAAATAACGGGGAACAAGGGACAGAAGGATAGGTTGAAGAATGTGCACTCAACGTGATTGGTGCACCGCTGCACCGACTCAACAACGAAGGCTGTCTGCATGAAAACTTGAGAATTTCTACTCGGCCACTCGTGTGCGTACGCTCTTCTTACCCTTTCTCGCTCCGCGTTCCAACGGCCAAACACAATGCTCGAGCGAGTCTGGTTACTGCTGAATTCCAGGCAAATTTCAAGGAACGCTGCTCATCTGCCATTATGAAGCAGCTCGAATCCTCAGTTGAACGCCGAGCATTAGGTCACAGCGCTGTATCGCTTCGCGTTAGATCCTGGCGCGCTCGGTTGCCGCTGAATTTCCATGCTCTGGACTTCCTCTAGTTAAATGTCCACGTGTCGCCATGCGTTTCCATGCATTCGATATTTACATGCTCGACTTCAGTCTTCACGCTCGGGGTTTACACGCAGTGAATATTTACGTGTTGCATGTCCGCGTTAAGTCTTCACATGTCGAATCTCCGCGTTAGAGCTTTACATGTTGGATTTCCACGCATTATATTATTGTATGATGGATTTACACGCGTTGAATCTTTACATATACGATTTGCACACGTTAAAACTTCACGTGTTGGATCTTCACATGTTGTATTTCACACATGTCAGATTTCTACACGTTAAATATTCACGCATTGTATCGCCACAAATTGGACTTAGAAGCCTTGAATTTGTACGCATTGTATCGTTACTTGGATTCTACGCATTAGATTCTCATATCAGAAATTAGATAACAGATCAATAAGAAGTCCACATATGCACACGTTGCGCCGCACGTGTTGAACCATAATGCGTTGTCCATGTCAATACGTCACGTGTTACTGATTCTGAGTTGTAAAAAATTTTGCAAGGAACACTAATTGTAAGACTAAATTCAGAAGGTGGAAAAACAGAGCGGAAATATAATTGATAAACTGAAACGAAGGTTCTTCTTCATAGAAACTGGTTTCTACGGCGTAACGAGGCTTGCCTTTCTCGTTCGAAATGCGACGATATTAAATAGCAAATTACGTAGAATTACCGTGGAAAATAAAATCCACGGTCGAAGAAATGAATTCTGGTAAGGTATTAAAAATTAAAGACGTCAACGGAAGTGGCCGGAATAACTTCGTTCGGTATTCACGTTTCCCTTTCCAACTACAACTTTTTCTCAGACGCTCTCAAGCATACCGCGTAATTATTCTATGAATATTCGGATATTCATGAAAGTCTCTATAAAATAGCTGGCGGACGCTGGCTTGCTAAATAATTCAATTACATGAAACCCGGAAGCGGACAGTTAATTAACAGACCGTGGAGATTGGTCGCCGGAATTTTTTTTTTTGCTTTCGATCATGCAATTTCGACGAAAAACCGGTGAAAATATGGTGGAACAGAAAGTCCCGGTTTCAAAGTTAAAGAACCAATGAAATTTTCATTCGCTCTGTACCGAGAGATTCGTCGCGATTGTATTTAATTCGATCAAGATTTTCTCAAAGCGTAATTAATTTTCAAGTCGCGAGTTTCCCTGATTGCAACTGTAACGCACTTTTATAAACGAGCGAAATTCTGTATAATAAACATGTTTATTTATCTCCCTTCACATGAACTGGGGTTAAAAAAGCAGGAAAGAAATTGTATCGATGAAAATTAATTTTATTAAGTTACATGGATCGATCCTCGTCGGACGAAGTAATCTGAGAATTTTATTAATACCACAAATCTCGCGTGAATGGAAATTAAAGCACGTTTAATCAAGCGACCACGCTAAGTACCGCGATAACGCGATAAAAATTGCAATATGTAATTAACAGCTTTTTTAAATAATAATGGTACATGGCGAGATCGCTATAAATTAACAATGCGTTCATGATGTACAAATAATAACGACCTGGAAATTTTATCATCGCAATTCTACATGACTTATTCAACAAAATTAATGAAGGTTAGGTGTAGTGTACAGAATCGAAGCGGCTCCAGGTAGCTTCACATTAGTTGGATTCACTCTGGAACCCACTAGCACTCCAGAACCAACGCTGGAAGTGTAAACCAACAGCTCAGGAGCGACTACGTATGAGGTGGTTACATTAACAGTGACAGGCTTATCGGAAAAGTTGATAAGAAGAACAGCAGCTCTGGATCCAATGTGACGAACAACGCTCAAAACATGGTCCGCGAGCACGAGCACCTTCAGATAGCTGTGGCGAATGGCGGGCACCTTCTTCAGCGCGGACAAAGCCTTGAACACGTGATAATGGGATTCCTTCGCCTGTTTCTCTGCCTGGAGATTCAAACATTTGTAATTGGTGTGCACTGGCAACCAGGTGACGTTGCTGGTAGAAAATCCAGCGCTGGTGGTGTTGTCCCATTGGAAAGGAGTTCTTTCAGGATCTCTCGACCTCAGGGTGTACCTGTCGGGCCCGGAGTTGCATCCAGCCGGGTCGATGGTCTCTTCATAAGTGAAAAACCTGTCTTCCATTCCAATTTCGTCTCCGTTGTAAATGACGGACACTCCGGGGAGCAGCATCGCCAGCATGTTGATCTGATCGGCTCGTCGGGTGCCGAACCTCGAAGCCACGCGATGGTTGTCGTGATTACCGACCACCCAGTTAGACACCTTACCCTGCGGCACGCTGTCGACCCACCTGTCGATGAACGTCTTGAAGTCCGCCGCGGTCGACTGGTTGTTCAGGTCGCTGATGAACATGAAGTTGAAGGGCACCGTGGAGCCAGCGTCGTAGTACTTGATGGTCATTGTATGATTAGCGTACGCTTCGGTCAGGATCATCTTGTAGTCGGAGTTGGTTTTGGTGGAGAACTCGTCCATCAGTACTCTCCAGCTCTTGAGGACGTCGTACACCTCGTCGTAGTTCTTGGTGTAAATGTGATCCAAGTACTCGTAGTCGTTCTCGGGGACTCCCGTGACGTTCGCTTTCGGTTCGTCCCTGAAGAGAGGATCCTCGAACAGGTGATTGATCGCGTCGATACGGAAACCATCGACTCCGCGTTTCATCCAGAAGGACAATACGTCCTTCATCTCTTGTTTCAAGACTTCGTTGCGATAGTTCAGGTCTGGCTGAGCAACCGCGAACTGGTGCAGGTAGTACTGCTGACGCTCCTCGTTCCATTCCCAGGCCCCATTTTGGAAGTTGCTTATCCAATTGTTCGGCGGGTACCTGGTTCCGTTGACGATCTTGGGGTCGTGCCAGACGTAGTAGTCGGTGTACGGGCTGATCTTCTTTATGCTCTTCAAGAACCACGGGTGCTGGTTGGAGCTGTGATTGGGCACGAAGTCCAGGATCACTTTGAGACCGAGCGACTTGGCCTTGGCTACGAGACGGTCGAAATCGGCCAAGGTGCCGTAATCGGGATCGATGTCGGTGAAGTTGGAGATGTCGTAGCCGTAATCGACTTGCGGACTCGTGAAGATCGGGGACATCCACAGAGCCTGGACACCGAGGTCCGCCAGGTGGTCCAATTTCTCGGTGATGCCATTTAAGTCACCGATGCCGTCACCGTTGCTATCTTTGAAGCTCCGCGGGTATATTTGGTAGATGACGGCGCCGTGGTCGTACCAGGCGGTGCTGGGAGCCGCGACAGCGACCAGCGCCGAACACGCGAGCAATAGTAATCGAAACATGGCGAACTAATGGCTCTTCCGATGGACACGCGGATCTTTATAGGACTCCCTGATCAGATTGCACGAAAAAACCCGAGCACTCTCTTCGATTACATCGAAGACGTCCAGTCTCTGAAGTGGACACAGATAAGCTACTCGTAACGCACTATCGTGTGTTTGTTACGCGTCGAATCTTATCGCAGTTGTTTAGAATACTCACTTCGTGCGAATAACAACGTTTTAATCCCAGTAAAATTTTCCAGAATCCTCCTCGGACAGATTGCTCCGAGATTAAGGGCTCTCGAGTTGTTTGTTTTCGACGATAAAGCAGACCTCTAAAGAATCGCCATTTTCTAGCTGGTTGGCCGACGTGCAACATTCGCTGGCGATAAGATTTTTCGAGGTGCACCGCCACTTGGGAAATAGTAAACACCTCGGACCGCACGATCTCGCGTGTAGAGAACATTTATGCGTGCCAGCCGAGCTATCGTAGCCGTGGCTAATTATACGGCTAGCCACGCTCGTTTCTTACTTTCTTCCTGGCCAACCGAGCCAATTTCAGACCCGCCACGACGAATAAATTTACCGTTCGGTGACGGACGTTGCTGATAAAAAAAAATATCCTCCGAGCAAAATCTGTCGCGTGAAACCTTTGATGGACGACTCGATAAGTCGGACTGCGATTGTCAGCCGTTTCTGCGTCGATTTATTAAATAATTTATTTAAAGCGATAAATGTAGGTAGGAAATCGTGGATAGGGTATCGTTGATTTCCAACGGGGAAAGAGACGCGTGTCCTTTTTTCGATTCGCGCAATGGCCTCCAAAACGATTTATCAAAGTTTCAGTTATCGATAAAACCGAAATTTTCAATCGATTTCTCGCGCGTGGTCTATGGGCAGAGATAGTTCATCGCGTGTCTACGGGCTGCCAATATTCATCAAATTTTGAACGATGTCATAGGTCGGCCTCGTTTTTTCCCCGCGATCGATCGCGTGTTCCGGATAAAAGAAACGTTTTCCAAATTCCACGCGAAAATGTTTTCTGACAAGTGGAAAAATGGGAAACAATGTATGATCCGAACGAATTTTGGTTAGCTTTATTGTAAAAACGCGTGCGCCTGGAAACGCGATATTTCGAAATATCTAAAGAATCGCTCTTTCAATGTTAACGATAGCTAATATCTCGGAGAAGTCCGATACGAGCTCGAGACTTAATTATCTCCTTACCACGATTTGCGAGTTAAACGAGCAACGAAATTTGTAGACGAACGAGGATCGCACACAAATACATACGATAAATTTCGGTCTATAATAGTCGTAGACAATGCAAAACAACAGTTGCACGGGTGATTTACGCCCGAAGATACGCGTAGATTTAGCTGTGGGCAAAGACTAACATGGACGCCTGTGTAGAAACACCAGAAACCCGAACGGCGCGGGGACAAAGTTTCGCCAGAGCATTATTTATGCTCGCAATTTTCTTCTTGGCTTATTGCGAACTGCATTCATTCATTGTCCGCACCGCACCAGAGACAATTTCACTGGAACAATGAATTATTCATACTATAAACGTTCGTTCCGTCCCACCACTGTCGCTATCAGTTCTCTACGGTTTTTTAATCTTACTTAGATGTAAGTATGTCCTATATTTCAGGCTATATAAGTCGCGGTATTAGAGTAGGTAATATTCAACCGAATAAATCACTAATTGTCAAAACAAATCTGTAATTCGCGAGAAATAAATTAACTGGAACTAAGATGTACGATCGATGATTTTTTAAGAACAGCATTCGGCGATGCGTTTAATTAATTTTCATAGATTTTCAATGCAGAGAAGAGAGGATGCTTTTGCAGGACGGACGATCGTTCCGAAAGGGCAAAGTAGACGAGGGATTGGCACGGGCTCTGTTGTAACGAGGCCACGTTATGTCAGCCACCCTTGCTACGAAGGGGTAGTCAAACAACCCCCTCGCAGTTTACGGCCGTAATTAACTTCCTAGGTTATTAGCCCTCGTTCGCGGTTGTAGCCTGCTACTCCACAGGACTCTGTCTCACGACTCTTTCCAGGGGAAATCCTCCCTCTCTGCATCCCTCTTTTGCGGCTCCACTTTCATCTGACGCAGACGAGGCATTTTTCGATGAAGTTTGCAACGAACGCTCGACCACGCTCACCGTGTAAACGAATAAAGCCGGTTGATCGATAATTGAGCGGAAAATTGCTTGCTAATCTTTCCAACAATCTTTGTCTGTGCACCTAACTATTTTGTTAACTAAGACTTCTAAAAACCAGTCTTGACTTTATCAAGATAAAGTTGATAAAGATTTACCTTTCTTCACAGCTTTCAGATTTGCCAGACAATTTGTCGTTTTCGTAAATTTTGAAAGGGATGTTGAAAATCAGAGTGTTCGAGGATCATTGAAATTCGTGATTTCGTGGAAGAAATTGAGCATTAACGAAACTTAGGGGTAAAATGTAGAACACGTGGTTAACGATGCGATCGACGCCGAACAAATTGGCAGGAACGAAAGAGAATAGCCGTGGAACTGGATCGTTGGGAAAAGCATCGACTACTCGTTACACGCGTATCGCTAAACAGTCGTGCATCCGAGCGGAGTGCAAATTAATTAACCTGTGCATGCATTATTATCGAAAGCAGAACACGCGTGGTTCGGCCAATGCGATCCTAATTAAATTTTCAGTACGCACGAGTCCATCCGGTGAATCAACATCGTTGAAATACCATGAAATTAAATGAAAGCACGTTCTTCGAATAACTGCGGCGACATTAACGAGCTTGTAACGCGCCATTGGTAGCCGTGTTCTCTGAAAAAACAGCGCTATTCGAACGTACTATTCCTTCCATAACCGTAAGTTCTTTGAAAATGAGTTCCAGGATCAATACTCGGGGATGAAAATTATTTCCATGTTGAATGAAAGAAACGAGCTTGCAATTAGGCATTAAGAACTCGTGACACACCACGAAAGAACAAGTTACTCAACGCTCTTTCGCGAGACTCGCTTTTATAAACATGAAAGGTGTCCGTCGGGGGCTGCGTGTCTCATCAGCCGTTGTTCTCAGGTATTTCGCCGGGTTCCGTTCTAAGTGACTGTAAAGCAATGTCTGGCACCTCATTACACTCGCGAACTTGGTCGTCGGGTGAAGCGGACCAGGAAAATTTCGTGCGGGGAAAATGAGACGATAGCAGCCGGGGTTGGCTGAAGGGTTTTCGTTAGCTGCGAAGAATTCAGCCGTACAAAAGCTAGCTTAGACATGACATTGTGCCGCGAAAGTGGCTACGGGGTCCGAATAACGCGGGTCCACCGTAATGTCGGAATAATGTGGCTCGTTGCATGCCAGCCTTTATGCAGGTCCTGTTTCACTTTTTCCCATCAAGAATCTTGTCACAAAAAGATACTCTCATATGTAAAAATTCGTGACAGCGCTATTTAATACTGGTTAATATTAAAATTGAACTCGTTTTAATTTCTGACCTACACGTTAGACGCAAGAAAACGAGGCTTCAACCGTTCGAAAGAGGAGAAGTCTTTTCCAGAGTTGAAAAACAGGGTTCGGTTGCCAGGCAACTCGTCGAATGGCATAAAAGTGCGTGTTGCTTGGATTCAAGTAGTGCGTTTTAATTATAGCTAGTCAGCTCGACCTCTTATGACGGTACCCTAAGCGTGCCACGCTATTAAAGCTTAGCGAGATTATTCCTACTAATTATTTTAATTACACCCGCGTAGAGACCGAATGGGCAGAAAGGGGATTAAAACGTATCCGAGGATTATTAAAACTTCGCGAAGACTTAAAACCTTCCTAATTCTTAATATTTTGTTCACCTTCGGTCTCGGAGGTGACTCGCCCGCACAAATTTTGATTAATTTCGAAACTTTACTCCCGTCTTATTTAATACTTGGCTGACCCCGCGACGCGCAAAGCGACAAGCTTCAACAATTTTGACGTTCAACTGTAAGCTGCTTGGCTCGCAAACGATACGACTTTACCTCGATATTACTTTTCTTCGTATTAAAAGCTACACCGCAATGCAAGAAGTTTCTTAATTACGCGTTTCTCGGATCCACGTATAATCTATTCAATGTTCATGGATACTTTACAACGACGTATATTGCTGGCCGGCATCAAAGGATTTCTCAGTTAAACGACTATAGCCGGAGCGCATAATTATCTGTCTCTACTAGATTCGATTAATCCCTCGAGTTACGAGTCTACGTGGATATACAAGAACAACGGATTAAGTTCATGCATTCACCGTTGACTGATATGTCGATAAGATATTTGATATACTCCGAGTCGTACGATAACGCGTCTATAAACATTTTATCTTTCGCAAATATAATTCTCACACATTCAAGATAATACAATAAAGTTAAATTGAAAAATATAGTCGGGTAAAAATATTTGGCAAACATTTAATCAGGAAAGCATTTAGTACGTCAGTTACACATCTCATTTGCATCCTTTTTTTAAACGCGAGCCGATATTCAATTATTTTTCGAATCATTTCTCCAAGCACGTTTAACGAATTATTATTCACCGAGTAACCCAGTTTTCGCGGACTCCGAGTATTTCAGAGACGTGGCACCTATTTATGCCGGAGTCTGACACGAATACGGAAGCTTCTGGTTCCGCTAATGAACACTTTTAATTGGAGTGTCCACTTTTCTGTGCATCATTCGCGAAGTGGCTGTGTGTATAGAAATATTTCGGATAATTCCGTACACGGTAACGACAGCGCACCAAATTTTCGACCAAACATTCCCCGGACAAAGTCAGCGAACGAAACGGGGTAAAAGCGAAGGGAACAGTTTCCGAGTAGTAATCTTGCTCGACTTTGTTATTACGTTGACTCGCCGGCGCGCGAATATTCCGCAGCTTCCGGTCAATTTCTGGATCCGCTGATTTTTCTGTTTCTCGCCGGCGAGAGATTCTGTCACGACCCGTATTTAGCTTTATATCCAGCAGCTGGCATGTTCGAAACAGGTCCCCGGCAATTTCCAT